ATGTATGTGTGTGTTGATAAGCCTGAGTGGTCTGTTGACTGAACTTTGTATTTGTTCAAATAATTGTTCTGGGCAGGTTACAATAGTTTTACTTTTAAACTGTAAGTTAATTTAATTTATTTATGTTAGTTTAGTTATAATGTAAATACAATAAAAATTAAACAAAGATTTAGAATAATTATCATTTTGATCCATACATTGGTAATGTCTGACTGGGCCTCGTGCCACTTTATGTTCAATAAATTGGGCCCCGAGGTCAAAAAGGTTAAGAAGCCCCACTCTAGATGTAGCGACAATGTCGTTAAGTTGGGAACGCTGCGCCGCTCGGCTCACTCCCAAGTCATGGACCTGTCAAATCGCCTGTGCGTTTAGATAATCTAGTTTTGAACATATCACGAGATTATTTCAAACACAATTAATCGTTCAGTCCTACCCTGGACTAGCTGTTAGATCTTCTGTGCTGTTGGACACAAATGGTTTCTCTAAACTTAGGTTGTTCAAAGTGCAATCTGCAACAGGTAAGGTATTAAATTATATATTTTACACAAAAAAAAACTTACAAATGACCCAACTTTTTCTTTAATTGTTCGTATTCCACATGTTCGACAGAATGATAGATTTCTGAGCTCAGACACATGTCCTAACCTCCATCCTTCCTCTGAGGTCCTTAAAGATGGAGGAGATGACCGCTTCCTCCTCCGTCTGCTGAACCTCCTCCCTGGACGGCCAGACGTCACAAAGGTACACCTCCCTGCCCTCTGATGTCACACCTGTTCAAACATCAAGCCCAAAGTGGGCATTTCAATCAAGTTAATGTAACTTTTGTCCAAATTCTAATTAAGAGTTTATGTTTGTACAACAGACAAGATAAGGGGTGTAATTTTTTTAATTTAATAAATTCCAAATAATTAAATTCCATACATTACTGTAGTTCATATAAAATACTAGTAATGATGAAAACTTGCCGTTTTGTGGCTTCAGCTGGCTGGACGTTTTTGGTCTGCTTTAAGGTAAATAAGATTGTGTCCCACTTTTTTTTAACAAAACACAACCGGTCTTTTAATTATTATTGTTGTTATTATTATCATCATCATCATCATCATTATGTGTAGGTACTGATACACCTCAGAGCTTTTCAGGTTGTTCATTGTTTCAGTGTCTGAAGAAACCGAGTCAATGAAGTAGCTACACATGCTTCTGTATATAATACGCAGACCTTTTTTCGGGTCGTCCTCCCATCCCTCGACCACATTAGACAGCAATATAATTACATTGTTCTGTATGAGCCTGCCAGGCAGTGTTCCCACGGGTTTTAATCTACAGTACAATGCTCAGAGAAACAATTAGCTTGTACTGTTTGCACAAACAAACGCCAGTTTCTAGTTTGCACTGGAAACTGCTCCCATAATTCACCTTTATATATTCAACCTTTAATTTTAGATACATGAATTTAGGACTTTTTAAGGACCTGCAGACACCCTGCCTTGGTTATTGAAATAAATATTTTTTCCAGTAACAACCTGTTTTTTGTCTTGTTTTCTGGCCGATACAAACACTGAATCACTCCCTCTTCACTGACTGTAATCTGCCTTAAGTCCTAAAATCCTTTAATGATCTTCAGCGTTCAGACTAACAGATTAGGAGAGATTCTGGTGGTATTTTATTTACCCAGGGGCTCCTTCTCAAAGTCAATTCCCACAGTGCCTGCGATTGCATAGGCGACCACCAGGGGAGGGGAAGCGAGGTAGTTGGCACGCACGCAGTCACACAGGCGGCCTTCAAAGTGCCTGTTGCCAGACAGAACACCACACGCCACCAAGTTGCCCTGAAACAGAAAGAATAATCAACATCTGTGAGGGACAGAAGTAGTTTTTACTGAGACCTTAAAGAGGATTTTACCTGTTTGATGGCATCGACAACAGCTTCAGGTAAAGGTGCTGTGTTCCCAACGCAGGTAGAGCAGCCGTAACCGACCACCTCAAACCTGTTTTTCAAACAAGTCATTTAGACAACTTATGAGATAAAACACAAACCTGCTATATGAAGGAATAAATCATTTTTATCTCTTAGGGTCAGACGTTAACTTTAGATCAATACTGAACAAGATAGTCAAAAATAAAAGTGGAAATCACGAAAAAACCCATAAAACTTGAATAAATTGCATTCTCATTAAGTTTATACCTTTAACAACTTGATGCTTCTAGGAAAATGTCAATTTGTATTTTTTTAAAGAAAAAAAAAAACAAAATATCAAATACACAGTGGGGGAAATAAGTATTTGATCCTTTGCTGATTTTGCAGGTTTGCCCACTTACAAAGACATAAATAGTGTATAATTTTAAGGGAAGGTTAATTTTAACAGTGAGAGATCCAGAAAATTACATTGTATAAATTATATGAATTTATTTGCATTTTGAAGAGAGAAACAAGTATTTGATCTCCTACCAACCATTAAGTGTTCAGGCTCTTACAGACTAGAGATGTGACGTTCGCAAACGATCCGAATCTTTTGAACGGCTCTTTACAACGAACGATAGGAGCCGAATCGTGGGCAGTAACGAGCCATTTGTAATTTTATTTCTTTTATTCCTCATATAATCTTTATTTTTTTCAAACTTAAATGGCTCCCGCTTTGCTTTTTCATGGAAAACAGGCGGAGCTGTGGGGTACCGAAGCTCACAGTGAGAGGGGAAGGGGGGTTTCCACTTGACAAACGCATGGTTCCACCCACGTGACGGGATGACGTCATTATGTACGGCTGAGACTGATGGAGAATTAAAGTATTTTCTTCCTGACTCTGCCTTTGCTTCCTGCCGTCTCATGCTCTGCTCGTGCTGCAGCAGCAAGTTTTAAAAATCAGATTTTGATTTATTCTGGTAAATTTACAACATTAMMAAAAAAAAAAAAAAAAAAAATCAAAACACTATTTTACAAATACAAACTAAGAATTTACCAAAAAAGGAATAGACTGAAGCCGAGGATTATACTTACAAATAACAATCATTTACAGAAAAAGACAAAAAATAAAAATAACGTGTTGAATAAAAAGTACAGTTCGAAGTCTCTACTTTTAAAACACACAGAGCCATATTGTGGTGAACAGTTAGTTTAGCCACAGAGCTGCTCGCCTGCTAGCTGGCTGCAACCTGTGGAATGGATTTCCTGAGCGAGTCTCTGTAGCTGCGTTTCCATTGACCATGAAAACGCACAAATTAGAATTTCGAAAATAAATTTGCTCAATAGAAACGTCAGTTTCGAAAAAACTTCCTTTTTTTGACTAAATGTTTTTACGCTAGGATGAGGTGGTTTTTCGGCCGTATCTAAATTGGTGTTTTTCACAAAACTGCAATGGAAACACTTTTTTCACATCACAGGAGTCACGTGATCAACAACCGTCTGTTTCTACTGGTGAAAAAGACGATGATGAAGAAGATAACAGGAAGTAGAAGTAGTAGTAATATCACAGAAGTAGTATAAAATAGTAAACTCACCGACAACAATTTCCCAAAAACACAGCATACGTAGCCGCTCCCAAGTAGGGACTTGTCTCTGGAAAGCCTCGATAAAAGACGCCGACGTCTCCTCTGATGATGAGCGCTAGTGTCGTGGTAGCAACATGCTATGTGTTTACATCCATCGCTGCCATGTTTGTAATGACTTATCATGAGAACAAACGTATTCACGTGACTTTAATAACATTTATTACTTAATGGAAACACTGCAGTTGCGAAACTGTGTTTTTCAACATTAACAGAATATCGACAAAGTTTTGCGCACATTTGTAATGAAAACGCAGCTAATGAGACTGGGAGTAACGAAACACCCCTCCATTCAGGAAATCTATACCACAGTTTGCAGCCAGTCAGGAATCACTTCTGGACTCATTTCATCAGACTTTATAACAGCAGACACAGCTCATGGATCAGAAATCTCCCCACATTGGATCGGAAAATTCCAGTAAGTTAATTATGCTGGTATTGGAGTCTGATACAGATACTGGATCAGATCCATCTCTAGCTCACATGCTCACCCCAGCTGGTTGAAGTAAGGCAGGACTCCACTGGCACTGAGGTAGTGAGTGACCATACCGCTTCCAGGAGCCAGGGTGGTCTGAATGTAAGGCTTTACCATAAGCCCTACCTCAATGGCCTTTTTGGCCAGAAGACCTATCAGGAAGAAGAACATGTCACAAACACACACAAAATCAGGTGCCTGCAGAACTGGAATCTGCTAAATATGTTCCATGTTTAAAAGTGAAATGGGCTTCTGAAAGTCAAAACTTTTCCAAGATCATTTTTATCTCTTGACATCATGGGTTACCAAAAATACTACAATAACTTTTTAATTAACATCTAATTTCCCTTTGTTATTACTAAAGCAGGGTTCCTACACTTTAAGGCAAGTTAAATTTAAGACTTTTTAAGACTTTTTAATGCCAAGTGAAATCAAATTTAAGACCAATTTCACAATAAATACAAATGACAAAAAAATTAAACTGGCAAAAACTCATGAATCAAAGTATTTTTTGGTTGAATTATTCAAATACTGCTAATAGAACAATTGTTTTTATCCATATATAACTGCTATTTTGTCAAAAAATAGCTAAAAAAGCTCTTAGCAGTCAGTTTTAAAGTTTATTTAATTTCTGGAAATCCTTTAATGACTTAAAATTTGGAGTTTTAGGACCCACAATGGGTTCTCAAACCTTAAAGTGCATGTGACATCAAAGTTTTGTAAGAAATATGAATGCATCTTTGGAAAGAGAACATTATTAACATATTAGAAAACAAATGTCACATTGCTCAGATGGACAGTTGTTGCGATATTTGATTGGGCCGCTGTGGTAGAGTGGTTAGGGGAGTCGTCCTGGAACCGGAAGGTCGCCGGTTCGATCTCCGTCCAGTCGACTCAGTCTTTGTGTCCTTGGGCAAGACACCTTACCCGCCTTGCCTACTGATGGTGGTCAGAGGGTCTGGTGGCGCCGGTGTATGGCAGCCTCGCCTCTGTCAGTGAGTACAGTCCATTTACCATGTGAAATAACAGGAAGTGGTAACAAAAGGGAACATCTGAATGGGAATATTTAAAAAATAAATAAATGTTACCAATTATTTTTAATATTTGATACGAATTACAGTCATCCTACTTACAATGTGTTAACATTTTAAAGACTTCTGAAGATTGATTTAAGACCTTTAAGGCTAATTAAGGCCTTATTTTTGGACTGATGAATGCAATGACTTTTTAAGGATCCGCAGGAACCCCGTAAAGTCATTCTGAATTGAACTGAATTTGAAAAATACCATCACTATCCTGGCAAAACATTGGAAATGTTTTTACTCCCTTTGTTTCAAAGCCAAAAATTGAATGAGGTAATGAGAAAACTTAGAAATTTTAAAGAACATTCTCACTTTGTGAAAACAGATCTCTCACAGCAAATACATCCTACAAAAGTAAAATAAAATAAACGGCTGACAAAAATCATTGTTCATCGTGTTGCCAAAAGCCTACGCAAATATGGAAAATAAATAGCATGAATCAGATGCATGAAATCTTCAACCATTGTTGCTGTTTTACACCTAAGTAAAAGAGTCTCCAGCCTCGGCGGTTTACCTGCAGTGAGCATGACAGATGGGTTGCAGTTGTTGGTGCAGCTGATAACAGCAGCAATGACCACGGAGCCATGTGCCAGCTGATACTCCTGACCACAGTGCATGAATGGAACACAGATCTCCTGATTCTTCTTGGAGATGTGGAAACCTTTAAAACCCAACTGAAAGCAAAGCATACAGCAATTATTTTAGACTCAACTACCAGCAACAAAGTGCATCAACAAACCATGTAAAAGCACTTTGAATCGCCTTGTTGCTGAAAAGTGCTATATAAATAAACCTTAACTGACAAATCATATCTCCATCAACAAAATAATTATAATCCCTGCTTTCAAGTAAACCAACCTAAAACACGGGAGTTTTATCGTGTGTTTTCTTGCACACTACCTTCTCATCAAGACATCTCTGAAAGTCCTCCTTCATGTTGCTGATGGCCACTCTGTCCTGAGATCTTTTAGGTCCACTAACGTGGGGCACCATGGAGCTCAGGTTGATTTCAGTCACCTGCACAAAGGACACTGGCTTTACTTTGGCTCAGTATGTAAAATATTTATAAAACATCAGGTCAAATTTTCATAATGAATTATCTGTGTAATCTGTGAATTTCACCCTGATGAAAGATAAAAATTATTTGCGTTTGTTTTAAATGAAACACGATTACAACAACCAATTTATGAGAAAATAAATCAATGCACATATGTCAGTGCTGACTTTTAAAAGTGAAATTACCTCAGAGTACTGGGGGTCTTCTGAGGCTTCTTCATAGCTTCGGAAAATATTTACAACCTTTAGATAAGACTCCAATTGTTCAAGCTTTTCCTGCGTAAAATCTGGGAAGGAGAAATATGACATGTTAGAGTAAAAAATCTGTAGGAGACATTTCCTAACATAGCTAAAGCAGAACGCCCGCGTGCCGTTTTGTATTATTTTGATTTTTCAAATATATCTGTTTCCTGTTCTGCCTGTGTCTGTGTGCAATGCATCTAATTTGACGTCTAGGCCCTCCTCTTTCGATTGACACCTCATTTGACCAACTGGGTTCAAGTTTCGCCTGTCTAGGGCCAATAATATCTCAGTAGTGACCAACTTCCGGTTTCCGTCTTTCTAGCTTTGATTGACTATAAAATCGGCCAATCAGCTCCAAGCTTTGTTCTGATGCCATGGCTGTGTAGCCAATCACCGTACCTTTCATTTAATGTACAAAAGGGGGATGGGAACTTTGTTAGTGATGGAAGATGATAACACAGTGGAGGCGGCCATGTTTCAGCAGTGTTACAATGCTAAGGAAGGCAGATAACGCTCACAGGAAAACGTTGTTTTCCACCGTTTTTTGGCCAGTTAGCTGGCTAAACCTGCTGATAAGATGAAAATATATTTGTTATTAAGTGTTTCGAGTGCTTCAAGACATGGAAGAGGGATTTTTGTGGCCAGGAGAAGTTAAAAAGTATGAATAAAAAGACTTCCGGTCGCCATTTTGAATAGCTAATTTGGACTTAGAGGACAAAAATACATCAAATGTGAGTAAAAAAAATATTTTTTCGCTGCTGGCAGATTTATAAGCTGTGTGGAATGTTAATGCCCTGAAAGAGATAAGGATATATTGTTTATTCTTGCAGTTTGGCTGGGTACTGGTGGAAATTTGGCTGAAAGTACAGTGTTGGTGTAAATATTTATGAATATGGTTTTTTATTTAATCATGCTGTGAGTAAATATGGATGGTAGAATGTGTTTTGTGGGGGTTATATCTTTAATTTGAACCCAGAGTGAAGTCCCTGTGTTGAAATTAGAGTGTTTTAGACAAAGTGTACAGTTTGGACATATGTAAATGAATACAAATGTGCAAATGAGACATGCTGGATTGTACTGTGTGTCAAATATTCATATTTTATGCTACTGTTACCAAATTTGAACTGGTAATATTTGAGAAATTATATTTTAGCCCAGCAAAATCTGTTTGATCTCATTCTCTTCATATTTATTTTAATCATTATTAATAAAAAATAAAAATTTAGGGAGAAAAATATCTTGATTTTTGTGTATTTTACTTCAATATACTAAATACTAGTTACAGTTACAAAGAATATGACTGCTGAAGTTAAAAATTCATATCATTAGCTTTAAAAAGAGACCAAGCTTGTGAATTTACTCTAAAGGGTTCAAAAGCAGTACTTCATTTAATTTGTGTACTTTTTAAGGCGTTTGATGGTATTTTATGGCTGAAGGTTAACAGGCTAATGAAATAACAGAACTTCCAACATGAAAAGAAAGTCTGCCTTTGGGATAAATGCTAAAAAGAGCAACCAGAACCAAATCAAACGGTTTTTAATTAATCAGGCAAAAATTGTAAATATGGTGACTGTTATGGATTAATTATGTATATCTGTTCAATCTCGACACTGTCCAGTAACCATATCTTGTTATAACCAGTTTTCGGCTGTTAATCTGTTTTATTTAATATAACATCATGATGTTATCACGATGTTATATTATTGGCTTGCTGTCTGCTGACGGGAGCCACAAACCCGACAGATTTCCTGATTGACTTCTGTTTGTTTTGTTGCTCAAGATTAAATCATTGACGACCATACACGCAGACTTTCTGTGCATTTATTCCAACGTGTTTCTGCACTCTTGGTAAATCATTTCCACGACAGTGACGTTCAGGGAACTCACTTGTCTTTTTAAAGTGCTTGAGTGCGACTTGGTCAACGGGGAAGAAGCTGACAGTAGCGTTGTATTCTGGGCACATGTTGGCAATGGTGGTTCGGTCTGGAACAGACAGCTGGGAGACACCAGGGCCAAAAAACTCCACAAACCTCCCAGAGATTCCAGCCTGACGTAAATGCTGAAAAACCAGTCAATTCACAAGAAATTTGTTAGCACATTTTATACAACCTGCGTTTACTGCTCCTTTTTGGAACAAAGATAAACATTTTTTTTTTTGATTGAATGACACCAGAGGTGATGCGTGTGAGTTTTACCTTAGTGATTCCAAGGACGATATCGATGGATGTGGTCAGGGGGTTAATGGAGCCCACCAGTTTACAGCCCACCACTTGGGGAAGAGTCAGAGACACTGGCTGTCCCAGCATCACTGCCTCAGACTCAATTCCTCCAACACCTGGTGGGGAGAGGGAGGCATGAAGCAAAACTGAAGAGCCGCTTTGAAAAGAACAAACTACATCAACACAATCTGCTGGCTTCCCTTAGATTATTATTTTTTTGTAAAGACAGTATTTGTTGCGACTTGGAGCTGTATAAATAAACTGAATTGAACTGAATTAAATGTACAACACAGTGAAACACTTTGTGAGTTCTGAGTTTGACAAAAGAACTGTACAGCTGAGCAAATATTCTGTGAAACAACTCTTCTGACAAACCAATTTATTACACTGTGCATCAACATTCCTTTGACTAAAATTTACACAACTACATCGATTAGTTGTTCTAAAGAGTGGACAAATGAGAAACAGTCTTTTGGCTCCATTTTGCATAAAGGGCTGAAACGATTCCTCGAATAATTCGATTACAAAAAATACTCGAGGCAAATTTATCTGCCTCGAAGCTTCGTAAAAAATACACACTGTTATAATCAGCGCACTTCCGACCTCCCGGAATGTTATTTGTGTTACACACAATGCTACGACGTTAGCGCTTCCGCTAACAGCTACACTGTCGACGTGTCACGCGTGTACAGTGGTTTGCAAAAGTATTCATACCCCTTGAACTTTTCCATATTTTGTCACATTACAACCACAAACATAAATATATTTCACTGGAATTT